TATATATAAATCAAAAATGAAACAATTCGTGGACACAACACTTCAAAAAAGGGGGGCAAACCGCGGAAACGTGTTTCTGGCTATTGGCCTCATCAGCGCGGTGCAGCCAAGTGTAAAGATGGGCAACACTTGTTTGCCTGCACATTTGTGGTTCCAGTTAGAAGACCTAGAATTCCCAAGCTACATCTAACATGACCACGTAGGCAGCTATAGCTACCTGCGTGACATCCGGGTCCAGGATATAAATACAAATAGAGATTTTATCGAGTGTGCATGATACAAATCAAAAATGAAACAATTCGTGGACACCCTCTGGATTTTATCGAGTGTGTATCATACACACTCGATAAAATCTCTCTCTGTATTTATATCCTGGACCCGGATGTCACTCAGGTAGCTATAGCTCCCTACGTGGTCATGTAAGATGTAGCCTGTAGCATGTAGAAGTTATAAAGCCTGTAGCTTTATAACTTCTATTTATTATATGCGAGCGCTTTCGATAGCTGGCTGGCCTGTCATCTTCAAGGCTCTACTCAAACTGCACGGGTTTTGGTTGAGGAGAAAGAAGATGTGTTTCTTGCAATTCATTTTTACTTCCTTATCGATCGACGGATTGAATCAAACACTTTTCATAAATATAAGTTAAAATTCAACCATTGTAAGAGTTGATGTATCGAAAATCATCTCTAAGTCATCAAGTTTGATCGGGAATATATCCTCCGAAACATTAAATCTGCTCTCTTCATCCGTGAATGTATCGATTTCCTCTGGCATAAAACAACACCCAAGCAACTACCGACTACAGGGAATCCTGCCACCGATTAACATATTCAAAAGGTACAGAACAGATATTGCTATATTGTTTTTAGTACATCCGGAAAATACAAACCCTCTTTAATAAGATACTGCAAAAACAGACGATTTGCCGCATGTCGGGTTGTTTTGATTGTTTTGTATTTTTGCAGTTCGTGAAAATAATAGAACACTCCCACTTCATATTGTTCCTCAAACATCGGGAATTATTCAATTAGCAAATTGGTGTGCCATTAGTATACGCCATTTATATGCAGCATATCATATAATATTTAAAAGGACTGTTCTTCAAAAATTCAATTTTTTTTATATCCATCCTTCAGATAAATATTCCAAATAATTCATAGAGAGCATCTTTACCTCATTAGAACAGATTCACCAAATAAGCTGTCTGAATTGCGATGAATAATATGTTGGTCAAACTGAGCGAACTGTAATGACTCGATACAAAGATCATGTCAAATCAGAAACGTCCAGTGTTGAATTTCAGGTCTGGTCTAAGTACTAAAATTTCGCCAGTTCTCAGCATATTTCACTTATAAGTGAAATATGCTGAAGTGTATGCTATCTTTCAGTGTGCAAGGCTTATTAAATTGAGACCTCAAAGAAATGAGCAGATCAATGTTTTTACAGTCAGCTGTGACAAACCCAAAGGTGATTTCAAAAATTAACTTTGTACTGGGTGCCAGGGCATTCAGGTATCACAGGTAATGATAAAGCTGATGAGTGCGCTAGACGCGGATCATCAATTTCATATATAGGTCCTGAACCAGCTACCAAAATCATTGATACGAAACATTAGGGAACCGTTGTTACAAAGAGTTTTCTTTGTAACAACAGCCCAGCTATTGACTGCAACCTCACGAATTGAACCGTACCGAGCCCTGAGGGACGCCATATTGTATGTGTCCTACTTCAGACTCCGTACCGTGTCGAACGATTTGTTTGCACTGTTCTAAATAAGCTTTTAGCCAGTTCAAACTCCCATTTCTGACTCCATTGAATTCGAGTTTTTGCAGCAGAATACCGTGGTTCACACCAAATATAAATGAATAATGTCAGATGAGATTTAACGTGACAAAATCTAGTTTTTGATTTTCAGGTGGAAGTGAAGCATAGACTAGCAAAATATTTTTACACTCCTATCTAAATGGATATTTTTTACGTTCAGACGGGCCGCAGCGCCCGTAGCATTTGCTACTCTTGCTACGTGGCTAATCCGTCACTTCTTGTAAACATTCAAAAAAACTGTATATTTATATGAAAAATATTTTTTGAAAAGAGTTGAATGATGAATCATGAAATAACAAGCAAAATGACCATAATAGTTGAAGCAGGGAAGGGAAAAAAACCTGGCAAACCAAATAATATCAACAACTCACAACGGTAATCTGATTTTGTGCCAAATATAATTAATGGTTTTTCTCCCGGTCGCTACACGTTCGTTAATTTTCTTTCGTTCCCCGAAATGAAATTCTTCCCGTTTTCCTCGAGTATCGACTGCGCATTGTGTTGTGAGAAATCCAACACTTGATGGAGCATTCCCCCAGGTGTTTCTAACCACCCCGTCATCACTTAGCTGCACGAAAACATTACCTCGATCAAAAGTGAAAGTTTATATAAGGTAGCGGCGGTATCATACACACAATCATCATTAATTTCAGGAGCTGGCAGTCGGCATGATCTTCCCAACATGTAATTGATGAATTAGAGCGGTTCTTGCTCTGTTCCGAACACGGCTCGTCGTTAGAACTTAGATCGATTACGTGGAAGATATCTTTATAGTAATCAACAGGAAGGGGAACACAATTCATACTTCTTAGTGGGAAATAATTTAGTTAAAACGATTTTTATCAAAGAATGATGTTGGCACGATTTAAATATAATAATAATATTCACTGCGTTTGCTCAGGGCACACGATTATCGGACTCAATGATCACTCGCCCCACGGTGCTTCGGGGGATAAGGCCTGACCAGCAGAAACTGTGTATAATAAAAATAATAAAACTTCATTCAGTTGAAAGGCTTCACAAAACATAATAGTTAAAATAGATGGATGTTTCAATTGAAGGGTTCTATGCAAAAAGTTCCTAAGTGACATTTTTGCGAGTTTAAACTAGTAGCGCCATCAAGATATAAATTAAATGTACTTTTAATTACCTAACTTTAGAAAAGAACCGAAGTGATATCAGATACAGAAAAGTGCGTGTTTTGTTATTTTCATCGTGTTGTTGTTTTTATGTAGGGGAAAGGGGGGGAAAGGGAGCCACCTAAGGAAATCTTTTTTTTTGAATCATACTTTCTAGCTTATAATCAAATTTAAATATTCATATAGGAAGGTTTACATATATATTTTTGTTACATATGACATGAAGTGAACATCCGACACAAAAATACAGCACAGCACTGTTTGAGAGATCGTTCAGTTTTTCTATCTACACTCATTACAATGGTCTTCCCAAACACCTAAAAAAATTGAAACTGCCACTGTTCAAGCTTCAGGCTCTCAACTGACTATATGAAAAACAGCTATCGTGCAACTAAAGTCTCGCATAAAATGCAAAAATTCAAGTCATTCTGTAACCATTATGAATTACCCCTCTTTTATTCCATTTATTATTTTATAATTTTTTGTATAGTCGATATAGTAATCTTAAAGGTGTCGGCAAAGTCAAAGGCCAAAAAAACCAATACAAAGGAATTATGCCGCAATTTAGTCCACGTGGACTGATGAATTGGCGGTTCGTATTGGATCATTTTTACTAACCGAGTTTTATGATTGGCTGAAGAGTCATAAAATTGAATTTGAAGCCATGTTACGGTGACCAACAGAATGTAGCGATGAGTACCGCCGTTGTGTGTGTTATTAAAGGGAAACTGCTGGAAGGTAGGGGGCACCATCTCTTTTACTTGATCTATACACCATATGTTTTGTATATTGTAAAGGAGTTGAATGGAAGAGCAGGATTCGGGGTGTTGCATACGCTTGTCACCTGAATTCTGCTCCGGAATTTTACCAAACCAATTGTATTTTCCTTTGTGTGCTTTCTTTTTTACCTTAGTAAATAGAAGACATTTTTATTATCATTATTATTATTGTTACACCTCGAACTTCGCTGTTCAAAAACTCTTTCATTTGGAGAACTGCTTTCATGTGAAATAAACTTCCTGAAAATGTTTTTCCAAATGAATTCAATCTCCTGCGATTCAAATCCAATGTGAATCACTACTTTCTCACAGGCACCGCTCATAGAGCGCCTTAAGGATTTTTCTGTAGTGATTGTGTTTTGTCCTTTACCCCACAAAAATCGAACCTAAAATTACTTTAAATTTTTTCGACTTTTCCTCTCGTAGGACACTCGTACATAAAAATGTCAACATTACTTTCAAAATGTTATGATATGAACAATTGAAACACCCTCTGCCCTTTGCTATTATCTCAAATTGAGATAATAGCAAACATACACCCATCAAATTATCATTCTAAGAACCGCATCGTTACATATTTTTTTATCATTTCAGTGCTTCGAGATGAATTTCGCTTCGAACCTCAAAGCTCCCGAGTTGCTGCAGGAGAAGACATAGTTTTGGAGTGTTCTCCTCCAAAATCCCAATTGTTTGACGAATTTATTTTGAACACTTTCAATTCTCTGTTGGTGAATCGAATATTGTGGACTCCAAACGACAGATGAAAAGTTCAAACGACTATATACATAAGAGTAATATAGATTAAGAACAGTTTTTGCATTTCTGAAATGTCTTGTATTTCTTATAATGAAACCCAATAAACGATTAAACCTATTAACGGTCATCTCAATGTGGGATTTAAAAATCATTTTGGAATCCATTATCACTCAAAATCACGTACTTCATCAACTTACTTACCAAGTGTCGTTCGTAGATGAGCAATCACTAGTGAAGAAGCAAGGAAAGAGTCTATTTCTAGACTAAATCGCGAAATTATTTTCGTCTTCGGAAATGTTCTGACCATTAAAACAATTGTGGTTTGCTTGATATCAAATCTTTTCAGTTCACATCAATACATAGAGTCTCCTCAGTCACGATTCAAGATATGCAATTTTCACAAGTTTCCCATTTATCTTCCTCGACATTAAGCAAAAACTCAACGAATTCAATACATCAACTTATGTCGTTATAAATTTGTTAATATAACAATTTTTTGCAGTTAAACCATTCATGATACGTCCTCCTGAAGACATAACAGCTCTGGTTGGTTCCACGGTGGAATTCTCTTGTGCTACAGGAGGGGATCCCATTCCAGATGTTCTGTGGCGCAGAACGGCATTAGGAGGGACCATGCCCCTTGGCAGGGTCAGAGTAATGGAGGATCGTACTCTGCGTTTGGAACAGATCACTTTACTGGATCAAGGACGGTAAGATTTTTGAAATTCCTCGAATGGTACTATAAAGACCTCTTACCAACGAGCGAGATCAGATGTTTTACTTCCTAATAAACCTTTTTATTGGTACCCACCCTTAGTACCTACGGGACACTACTATCCTTCATAATGAAATAGAGACATTTGCTACATATTTTCAAATACTTTCTCAATTCTTTGTGTAAAATTGTTTGGATGTTCTGATTTACCAAAGTTTCATAAGACCAAAGATAAAACTTCACCAAAATAAAATGAACATTCGACACTTCATAATCAAATTGTATTTTGATAGCCAAGAAACAGATAAAACTGAAATTAATTTTGCCTTTGTGGTTGAATGTTTTTTCACCAATGTTATTACAACCACCTACGATTGTGAAGAATGGAACTGGTCAAATGTAAAAAGAGCTTTCTAAATCTCGATATGATCTGCCCACTAGATGCGCGTTAGAAGACGGTGAGAGTGCTCAGTTGCAAAGTAGGTTTTACTTCTTGACGAGTGCTAGTTCACATCATCTTTTGTCCTAGTACGACTCTGTTGGGAAATGCACAGTTTGTGAGAATTCTCAATTATCTTTCTAGATTCGACAAGCTGTAAGTTTGAATATGTAGACAGGGAATTTCTATGATAGAAACTTCAGTCTACAAACTATGAGGTGCAGAATATCTCCAAGTATTTTGAATGTGTTAACTCTAACTACTTCCTGTGGGATTCCCCACTCAATGACCCTTTGCATCGCAAATGAGAAAACGCAAAGGAAATAACAGCAGTGCTCCAATTGAACTCAATGTACAAAACAAAAAAATCAAGCTGCTGGGACGATGAAAAGGCGCCTACTTATTGGTGAACAAGAAGATAAATAGTTTGGTTATTCAGAAAACTGGTCATCTAAAATTTCAAAGGAAATCCGAATGGATCAACTCAAAAACAAGTAATATTACAAGAAGGCAGATACGACCCTATTCACCTATAAAAAAAGCATTAGGTTGATCTATGCCTATATGTTGAAAGATAGTGTGGTACTGAGTAAAGGCGGGCATCCCTACCATCCCTACCCTCCCTACCATCCCTACCATCATCTCCACCATCTTCTGACAGTATAAATATGACTTAATACGCAGCTAGTCAGTCAGTCGTTGCTGATATTTAGTAATATAACTTTTGTTATGGAATAGTCGCAACGTTTAGTACTTCAGATTACATTATACCATGATCTACCAGCCTGGATGTTCTCTTCAATAGTAATTTGTGTATTTAATTGATGGCATTTAACAATAATGAAACTGATAACACAACTGAAAATAATTATTGAAAATCGAATTTGAAATAATTGCTTGAATTTCAGAATTGACATCTAAGAAAGAATTGTTGATTATTGTTACTCTTGTCCTTTTCCATGATAAGGATGTGACAGGAATTTATGAGGAGGATGAAACATTCAAGCAAAAATTCTGATTTTCACATGTTATCAACAGTCAATAAGGAGCTACGCGATAGAAGAGAAATAGAATGCGGAGTCCCTCAGAGAACAGTTTTCGAGCTTGTTCTCTTCAACCTACATCAGAATAGTTAATTTGAATTAAGGAATGTTTGCGAAACTATTGAATATACCAACGATACTGTAATTTTTGGAGCAGAAACATGAGCAAGCCCAAAACACTGATAACTGAAAATTTTCCACGAAACATTTTCTGCTAACTTCACTCGAACTTCTGATACACTCGTAAATAAAAGGAGGAAACCGGCTTCAAAAAAAGCAAAAACTGTTTTTTCGACTGGAAAAGTGATGGCGACTTTTTTTGGGATATTCATGAAGTTATTTCAATATATTCTCTTCAAAAAACATTACAGGAGCATACTACGCGTCATTCTGGTATTTGGTATCTGTAGAGTAGGGACACAGTACACAGCTACAGGTGACCCATTGTACATCCTCCCAAGGAGGCGCCTCCTAGGTCATCGTCCATCCAGTCCCATCCAGGAAGGAGAACAGGTCACTAGGAGACATATCCTTCATATTGGCAGGTGTAGACTAAGACTCGCCAAACACACACTCTCTTTGGCAACCTTGAGGTATCTCACGGTGACCTCCGCGAAGGTTTTGGAAGGTGCAGCGATATTACTGTCGTTGCGCGGCTTCTTCAACCTTCTTTGGGTTCCCTCCATGGAGGTGCACAAGTGAGTGAGCTTTCCTGTAGGGGCAGCCGGTTCTTTGCCTTCATTCAAGGTGGAGCTCTTGGCGCCCGCCATAGAAAGTGCTCTTGTTGGAGGTGATCTGCTATGTCCAGCCTCATTCCAAACGGTAGATTGAGGTGAGCACTTCTGTCCAGCCTCGGGATTGATTTTTGTTACTGTTGTTTCATTCATGTGTGTTCCCACGAATAGCAAGGGAAGAGTTGGTCACCTCTGGCAGAGCTCCGCATTACCGGAGGTAGGCTGATTACAATGAGGTTTCGCACAGTTCCCCAAGGGGATCGTTGGTGACCGCATATCACCCTACCACCATTCAGCTGTCGGCACGATTCCTTACACCTTATCTTGGGTAGGCTGGTCCACGGTGGCATGTTTTCCGAAGACTTTTGGAATGTTTCAGTTCCCCTTACCCACTGACCAGAAGTCCGACGACCCCGTCCGTAAGGCCACATTGACCTCCAGTCCCTGCCACCTGGGGACGCGCCCAATAGGTAGCCCAACCCACGGGACTACGCATCATTACTTGACAAGCGGTTGTCATGGTGAAAATCCACGGATTACGGTTTGAACTGCTCGACTATCCGCCTTACTTACCAGATCTAGCACCAAGCGACTCTTTTCATTGCCTCATCTAAAAGTTACGCTCGTAGGACAGAGATTTTCGTTAAATGAAGAGGCAATCACCTTCGTGAACAATTATTTTGCAGAGAAAAACGCCGAGTACTATTTGGACAGAGATGGGACCATCGCTGGAAGAAGTGTAAAGAGTCGAATGGAGACTACGTTGAAAAAATCGGAAAAATGTCTTGTACTTTTGTTAGGTCGGAAACTTTTCAGGCCAACCTCGTATACAATTGATTTGTGGTATTATTCCAGATACTTCTGTGACGCTGACAACTTCGCCGGAGCAATCACTGCATCAGCAATGCTGACGGTACATGCACCTCCTGCCTTCACAACTAGACCCCAAGCCCAAACGGTGGAGATGGGACATGACGTTACGTTCCACTGTAACGTCCAAGGTAGTCCCCCGCCTTTCGTTTTCTGGTCGTTCGAAGGTGATAGGGCTTTGGTATACACGGGAAGCACCTACGGCAACTACGAAGCCTTCACCAGTGCTGAAGGACATTCGAGTCTCCTTTTGAAAGACGCGCAAGTATGTATAATTGTATATTTCAACATTCACCTTTCCTGACAGTAAATTCCTTCATTACGTTTCATCGTTTCAGGTTACTACTAATTCATGTTCAACGACCTTGTTATTGTTCATTAATAAATAAATATTGTTCAGTAAAAACAGTTTCATTTCAAAAAGTTAATCGATATTTTCTATTTTCAGATACACGACTCTGGTACCGTAGTTATTTGTTCTGCTATAAATGCCGCCGGCTCAGCCTCCACCAGAACAAGACTCACGATAACGTCTAAAGAAGACCGTCCTCCTCCAGTCATTCTCAATGGTCCAGTCAATCAAACTCTACCCATAGACTCGGTGGCGTACATGTCCTGTGAAGCACATGGAAATCCCAAGCCTGTCATATCATGGTACAAGGAAGGCGTTCCAGTTTCAGAATCGCATCGCATCAATATGTCCAATCCAAATCATCTGGAGCTTTATAATCTTCAAAAAGAAGATTCTGGACCCTACACATGTGTAGCTTCCTCAAGAGGTGGTAAAGCAACTTGGACTGGTTATCTGCTCGTTGAAAATCCCAAAAATCCCAACATCAACTTCTTCAAGGCACCAGAACCTGTCATGTTACCTGGCCCTCCAAGCAGACCCCATGCTTTGAACCAATCAGAAGGAAGCGTTACTATCACCTGGGGTCAGAATAACAAAATAGGATCCTCTAGCTTATTAGGCTATCAGATTGAGCTTTTTGGTCGAGAAGAAGGTGTTACTCCCACATGGACTATTGTAGCTAGGAGAATAGCGGGTCCAACATTCACACAACACCTTCTTTCAGCTGGTGTACCGTACACATTCCTAGTTCGCGCTGAAAATGCCCATGGACTTGGTCCACCGTCTCAGCTTTCTGAGCCTATTGTGGTCGGTCCAGATTCTACCCAGAACTGGGGTAATCCGGAAGTCACTGTTCTTAGTGAAGCCAGAGCCAATTTGGTCAACAGCAATATTGCCAAACTCATAGAGGCAATTCCTTTGACATCTACCTCTATCAAATTAATTTGGAATATTTCCGACTCCACCTATGTTGAGGGGTTGTACATTTACTACATAGGACTGGAAGAAGATCCTCAGTCACCAAAAAGTTACAGTATGCTCACTGTTCTCCATACCGGAAGTACATCCAGCTTCACTGTTAACAATTTGGAAAAATGGGCCATTTACGAGTTTTTCCTAGTGCCTTTCTTCAAGACTGTCGAGGGTCATCCTTCTAACTCCAAGACCATCAGGACTCTTGAAGATGGTAAGTAAATATCTCATTTCCCTTGATTGAATAAATGTTTGTTCACATCACCTTCTCTAATCTCTAATCTGATCAAAGCTCTAGTTACACTGCTGGCTGTGGTTACACTTCTGGTTGAACTGCTCTTCACAAAGAAAAAAGAATGAGTTGTTGAATGTTGCTTTGAAATACATAAGGTTTCAATTAACTGTTACACTAATTTTTACAAAAATGATATTAACACCATAAATTCACCATTTCAGTTCCTTCTGAGCCTCCGTTCCATATGGAGGCCCTTTTGCTCAACTCTACAGCAGTCTTTCTCAAATGGAAACCTCCCCCGGCAGTGTCCTTGAATGGCGAGCTTCAGGGTTTCAAAGTCGAAATAAAAACGAATGGTTCTGATGTTATTAAAACCATGACAGTTGGAAAAAAGGCATCCAGTCTCCTTCTTGGAAATTTATCGCCAGGAATATCATATTACGTCAAAGTAGCTGCCAGTACTAGAGCTGGAGTTGGTCCATTCAATGCGGCGGCTACGTTGAGATTAGAGCCGGCATCCAGAATATCTGATAATTTCCAAAGGTAAGCTACAATTAAAAAATTATGTAGCTAAATTGAAAGGGGTGTTTTTCAAGAAGATTAATTTTTGGGAAATAAAGATTTTGACCTCCTACTTCTCCGTCTTCATACAAAAATAGTGGGAATATTCCAAAGAAAGGATGAAATTGATTGGAGAAGTAGAAAGCCGAAACATTTCTTTCCCGTTATCTAGCTTCTAATTATAATAAGTTAATGACTTGAACCATTATAAATGATTAACGTACTTATGGATCGTTCTATTCTTTTTTCCTCCAAGATAATCAACTCTGTCTCTTCTTTTAGACCGATAGATGCAGATATGCAATCCGGAGACTTCATCACTGAAACGTGGTTCATGGCTCTCCTGATAAGCATGGTATCCGTGATGGTTCTACTTTTTGGAGCGATGATCTTTGTGAGACGAAGACAGATGCTGTCCAAGAAAAGTATGACCCCCAGCCGCTCTAATGGTGGAGTTCTGACGACTCCCCTAGACTCCAAACACGAAGCTCCCCTATGGATGGACAAGGACAACCTTCCCGACTATGCCAACACCCTACCAGAGTACTCCAAGCTGACACCAAGAGAGCACCAGAGGACGGAGTATGTTTTCAATGGAGTTACCGGCAGCGCTTTTGGAAGCGTCAATTTGCGTTCGAATCCTCTGCATCAGAGCGAATTCGCGCGACCCGATAATTTGCAGTATAGTTCGGAAAAATATTACCCAGTGACAGGGAGGAAGTTTGACGATTTTCCTAATATGCAAGTGCAGGAGTACGCCAGCCCGAATTTGGATACCAAGATGTCTCAAGTTCCTGATTATGCGGAAGTGAATGCAAATATGATGGATAATGATAGCGGAGCTGTTTCTCCGGCACCTTATGCCACTACGACTTTGGTTGCTGCAGGAAAGAGAACGGTTAGTATTGTTTCTGGATTCTGATAGCGTTTTCCATTGCAAAAACTAGTGGTTCCCTCGTGTCACACTGAGGACACTGCCAAGATCCGATATTGGTACAGTTTCAATGGAACATAAATGTTACATGTCACTCAATAACACTACTGTGTAAGAACTAGCAGCATCTTTGATTTTTCGTTGTTCAGCTTGACTCTATTTGCAACAAACCATTCTTCTGCTTTATTCTCGGCTTCTGCAGCAACGGTATTCAAGGAATCGTAATCTTTCATATCTTCTATGATATGTTGCAAGACTCAGGAAGTATAGATGTCTACATGTAAAAATTTAGATTTAGATTATGTGTAAAAAAATGTTTTCGACTATTGATTATTTTAACAAAATGACCTTATTACACTTCTGTTATTTTCCAGTAGTTTTTTTATTTTTTCAGGATTAATACTGACAAAAATATTGATCAATGAGTTGTTTGAAGTCTGAAGTAGCTGATGTACTTGAAAAAGTTGTTCATGATTATTTTTTTTGTAGAAATGGAACAACTTTTCTTCAAACACCGACGATGAGAATCCATATCCCTCAGCTAACGGAGGTTACTACAACAGAAAAGTCTACTCGGATTCATACTTCTCTCCTATCCACACTCTCAGAAGGAACAAGAACCCAAAGAAACCACATGAGAACCCTCCAGATATTGTGTCGCCCTCCAGCGCCTCTGGCCAACCAGTATACGCAAGAGTCGGTCCTCCAGGTCTTTCTTGGAGGAGTGACGCCCCCTCCATGAGTAGCTTCACTCCACACAAACAGGTCTATCATGGTTCTACCAGGTCAGAACCAGGTAACATGTAACTTTTTCAGTTGTACATTTCTGATTTATTGTGATTATTTTGTCACATTATTGTAGTATTTGTTGGTTGTAGAGACCATGTAACGAAACATTTTTTCACTGCCAATGACTAGAACCTATGACATTGAATCGATAATTTAGTTTCTATAGTTCGATAGTTTAGTTTGTTAGTTTGTTCAAGTTTTTCAGATTTTTGAATTATCCTTATCTCAAATGTAGAATTCAACATGTTCAAATTGATGAAATTTCAAGTGAACCAAACGAATTTACATTTAGTGTTCCACAAAGCACAATATTAGGACCACCTTTGAGCCATATTTGCACCAACAACCTATGCTGAAGAAAGTATCATAATTCACCACTTAAAAAACTGAAACAATAGACCCAAATATTTTGTACCAACATTAGCAAGTGTATTTGCATTTGATGTTCCACAAGAAGCAGTATTAGGTCCACTTCTTTTTAATATCCACGTTATTAAGTGAAAATTTCGAGATTAAATTCGTAATTTCGAGGTTAAAGTCGTAATTTTGAGTTTAAAGGCGTTATTTCGAAATTACGAGATTGAAGTTGAATTTTCGAGATTGAATTTCAAGATCAAAGTCGTAATTCCGAGATTAAAGTCGTAATTCCGAAATTGAAGTCGTAATTTCGAAATCGAAGTCGTAATTTTGAGTTCGAAGTCGTAACTTCGAGATTTCGAGATTAAAGTCGTTATTTCAAGATTAAAGTTATAAATTCGAGTTGACAAGATATATGTTCAATTGATTATTGATTAATGATAAAAAATTGAATTGTAGGCGTGAATATTACTAATGATTTTGATACCTACGCATAGGCTTAGCCTTAGTAGGTTTTCTTCATTTATTTGCCTAATCGAAATCTACAGATAATTCTATTTTATAAATCCTTATATGTTTTTAAACATTGTAAATTTCATTGAATGGTAAATAAATATTATTATTATAATTAAATGAAAATTCGTAATTTCGAGAATGAAGTTGTAATTTTGAGTTTAAAGTCGTCATTTCAAGATTACGAGATTGAAGTAAAAATTTCGAGATTGAATTCAAAATTTTGAGTTCAAAATCATTATTTCGAGATTAAGTCGTAATTTTGAGTTCAAAGTCGTAACTTCGAGATTAAAGTGAAAATTTCGAGATTTAATTCGAGAATTTGAGTTTAAAGTTGTAATTTCGAGATTAAAGTCGTAATTATGAGTTTAAAGGCGTTACTTCGAGATTACGAGATTAGTAAAAATTTCGAGATTGAAGTCGTAATTTCGAGAATAAAGTCGTAATTATAAGTTCAAAATCGTAACTTCGAGATGAAAGTGAAAATTTCGAGATTAAATTCGAAAATTCGAGTTCGAAAATGTAATGTCCAGATTGAAGTCCTAATTTCGAGATTAAAGTCGTAATTTCGAGATTTAAGTCGTAATTCCGAGAATGAAGTCGTAATTTCTAGATTAAAGTCGTAATTTCGAATTTTAAGTCGTAATTACGAGATTACAAGATTGAAGTGAAAATTTCGAGATCAAATTCATAATTTCAAGATTAAAGTCGTAATATTGAGTTTGAAGACGTCATTTCGAGGTTACGAGATCCAAGTAAAAATTTCGAGATTGAATTCGAAATTTTAAATTCAAAATCGTAATTTTGAGATTAAAGTCGTAATTTTGAGTTCAAAGTCGTAATTTCGAGATGAAAGTGAAAATTTCTAGATTAAATTCCAAAATTCGAGTTTGAAGTTGTAATTTCAAGATTAGAGTCGTAATTTCGAGATTGAAGTCGTAATTTCAAGATTTGAGTTGTATTTCCGAGATTGAAGTCGTAATTCCAAATTCAAAGTCGTAATTTCGAGATGAAAGTGAAAATTTCTAGATTAAATTCCAAAATTCGAGTTTGAAGTTGTAATTTCAAGATTAGAGTCGTAATTTCGAGATTAAAGTCGTAATTTCAAGATTTGAGTTGTATTTCCGAGATTGAAGTCGTAATTACAAATTCAAAGTCGTAATTTCGAGTTTCAAGTCATAATTTCGAGGTTATAAGATTGAAGTAAAAATTTCGAGATTAAATTCATAATTTCGAGATAAAGTTGTTATTTTGAAAACACGAGATCAAAGTGAAAATTTCTTAATTAAATTCGACATTTTGAGTTCAAAGTCGTAATTTCGAGATTAAAGTCGTAATTTCGGGAATGAAGTCATAGTTTTAACTGTAAATGTCGAGATTGAATTCGAAAGTTCGAGTTCAATAATAAAGTCCTTATTTTGAGATTAAAGTCGAAATTTCAAGTTTCAAAGTCGTAATTCTCAAGAAACAAATAATAAAAATATGTGATCTTTCTGCGCTTCCGTATATTGATATGATACTGAAAGCATTAAAATTCATGATTGGTTATGTCCAGAACAAGTATTCTAAAATTATATATTTGAGGTGTCTATGATGTGTTTCCTCCAATTTGAGGCTCAATTCATTCATCTCATATATGTCAAGGTCAACCAGTCGACTTAAAGTAAAATTTGAGTCGAAATAAGTTTTTGCATAACCTAAAAGTAAAAGAAAATATCACCAGAAGTTCTTCAATAGTAGGAAAATGTCATGCTTTATCGATTATCGTCGTCTGAAGTAGGTGTTCTCATAAGAAACGTTCACGTATGCTATTTCCTTGACAAAAAACAATAGCCAAGGAAACTAACAGTTATTCTCCCCTATCTTTCTGATATAAAAGTCGAGTTATGGTTTCTACACCGTGGCAGACAAAATATTTTAGACTTCAGTCTCAATTTGCTTTCAGTGGATTTTTAACGATGTAATATTGATTGAAGGTCCCAAATTAATTCAATATAAAGCAGTGAATCCAAAAATCTGAAATAAACCAAAGATTTCAACATGGTCTCTCAAAATGTTACCCTTTTCTGTTTATAAGATATTTTATAAAAAATGATTGATAGTTGGCTATCGAACTTGTCATCTGATTGGAGAAATTAACAAATTACTTTTTATAGTCATAGTGAGGTTTATTCTTAGATCGTGGAAGTTATATAAAAAAATGAAAACGATACCCCATCTTGGTTTTTTCTAATTGGTCGAGTGAGAGAACGAGAAGAATTTTTTCGAAAATTTTGGAGAACACTTTTACTTTATGTATAAAAGTAAATCAATTCTCGTCTAAGGAAAAGGTGTACATTCAAAAAACATGTTTGAATAAAAATATTTCATAAAAATTGATTTGTAAATTAAAAAAGGGTTATGAATTTTGGTTCATCTAATAAAAATTCATTGCTTGGGTGTTAGATGAGGTACAATTAAAACCTGAAACCAACACAAACTCATATTTTTCATCAATTGTGGTAGTACTTCTGAGGTAGCTGATAATTTTGTATTTAGTAATCAGATAGAAAGTGAATTTCAGTTAATGCGTCTTTGTACTTCTTTAAGCCAACATTCACTCATTTTTAAGAATAACTTCTTTTGCTTGAATATTAATTCAATGTATAATCCTTACATGAAACAAGCACAGTCTCCAACAGTGCTTTTTTGGATTTATTCTACACCAAAGGTTCATAAATGTTTTTTTCTTGAAGAAAGCTGAATTTTCTTAAGAATATCAGAATGAATGTTCAACCAAACGAAATGGATATTATAGAAAGACTGATCTAATATTATTTACAAGATTTAGGGTTTTTTCTACTTGAAACCTATTCGATATCTAGTCATCTTCTTGTTATTAACTTTGTGAAAAATTCATGTTCGTCCAGATATATACGAAAATTCATTTCAGCCAAGCTATAGAGTATAACTGAAAAATAAAATAGTGGTTAGCGCTGTTTCTAACAGTTCCAGGACTTGTTCATTTGAAAACATGTTAATTTACTTTGATCATACGTAGCTTCGTGATTTTATCAACTATAAGAGCTAAAACTGTGTGATAAAGAAATTGTTTGGTCTAATTTTCAACGATAGCAGGAAGCATATTTTTCCGTAATTGGTAATGTTATGAAACATTTTTTTTTATATCCGTGTACAAATAACATATCATGTTAGGTATTAATGTAACTCAGTTCGTAATGTAATTAAAATTAGGTTAGAGATGAAGTGTTTGTATAAAGTATTGAAATGAAATTGATTTTGTTAAAATTGTTTCCGCATGAAAATATCCGCCATCTGATGAAGTAATGATTTAGATTGATATGAACTCTAAGGCGCGAATTTTCAGCTTTGTTCCAGGCCTAAATTTGTAGAATACTAGAGTGTACAGTTTGTCTCTAACTTCAGCAAACGTTCTGTACCTTGTGTATATTTTTTTGGCTAAAAAGTGATCGTCAAACATTTAAGATGTATTGTAGGTAATTTTCTTGAAGCATCGTGTATATGAAAGTTCCGGCTGCTATATTTTCACAGGCGGTTACACGTCCTCAAAAAAGTGTTTGTCAAAACCAGTAACACGTCAAATATTGATTTCAACCCTGAATTTAATATTTTTCCGGGTCTTGTGGCACAACTGGTTTAGACTATAAATGGCCTCATAACAAAACTAGATAATAAGCTGATAGCAATCTGACCTGGAGCTGATGTATATATTAACATGCTACGAATATGAATTCAAATCAGTGTTCAGCTGATAAATATTCAAATTGTCAATTAGTGAAAAGAATATTCTGAAAGGCATTCACTCCATTAGGGTCGAGTATTCAATCGATAGACCTCCACTTTAATAATTCTGCTTCTGATTTGCTACCTATAGGGTCTTCCTTTCTTTAAATTTAAATAAAACAATGTATGTGTGGGATATAATCGAATTTTTTCATTCGTTAGAAAGACGTATCGGTGCCATTGTGTGTGTGTAATACAACGTCCTTGAAATGTCAGGCTTCTCTAAGAGGAGCTCATCCGAAATGTCCAATTTTTCTTTACTCTGGCACATGAATTAGGCTGAATTTGACCGCTGACTTGGGTTTAGTTGGATTTGAAGACCGCTGTGATTTGTGGATAATGAACCTACACCTGCGACTTGAGAAATCCCCCCAAGAAAAAGTCTAACAGGATCAAATGGCACGATCTCGCTGTCCAATTCAGTTCACATCACCTCCAAGTGAGATGATCAATGTGGCATGAGCTGTGTGGCACGTAGAGCCGTCCTGTTGAAACCACATTTCGTTGGAGTCCAAATCATTCAATTCCGATGAAAAAAAGTTTTTTTTGATACCTTGGGAGCTGTCTGACTTGTCCATTTAGTCCAAGTCTCCAGAAAACACTGCAGCCTCTTGGTCTCATTGCGTTTATTCTCCCATCTTCTCATGACACCCATTTCATGAGTCAGGTTCCGTGTTGGATGTTTGTCATATTCTTCTGTCGCTGGATATAGCAGATCACCTCCAACAGCAAGGGCAATTCCTGTGGCGGGCGCCAAGAGCTCCACCTTGAATAAAGCCAAGGAAGAGCGTTAGACGCTCTTGGATTTCACGTGTATTGGTATCGTCCCAAATTCGACAATTTTGTTTCTTTACGTACCCATTCATCCAGAAATGGGCCTCATCGCTGAAGATGAGTTTTCGATGAAAATTAAGTCAGTTTATACGGGTGCAGGCCCAAGTCACGACGCAAAATTCGCCAAGTTGTGATCTGTGAAAGACCGAACTCTTGTGAGCGACGCGATCGACTGCCTCGGATTCTCCTGCACACTCTCACAGACAGCCTCTATGTTTTCGGCAGA